ACACAGCCAAGTCCTCTATCCACGTAGCTGTGATGTACAGCATTAAGAGGCCACTTCAAATAGGCTCTTCTATTTGTATTACTTCTGTCATACATTAATGGAAACACATTAAAAAAACATTTAACAAGATAAAAAGGCATATTTATTCAAGGGGGTTTAAAACCTTTTTTAGTTACCATTGAAGTAGATCAGAACCCAATAACTAAAGTCTCATATACATTTTACCATGGTAATGTAATTCCAAAAGCTGTTTTCAATGTTTATATTATCATCTTTATTCATAATAATGATAATGATATAATCATCATTATTATTATTATTATTACTCTGGATTTATATGGTTCCAACAGTTTGCTCTTTACAAAATAGTATCCCTGCTATAAAGTCCTTGTTCAGACACTTTCTATTATGGGGTGACAACTCTCTCCCTGTTGCGCCAACACACATTGCATAAGCCTGGCTCACTATCATTATCAGGAAATGCTTCAAAGCAATTTATTACAGCCAAAACTGGAGTGTGTGCATTTTGGTGCTACTGTGTTTGCTCGTTGGGATGCCATTCAAAATGTGTCAGAAGTGTCAGAAGTAGTGATGTGTCGAACAGCCCCCTGTTCTATTTGCGATCGAACATTTGAACCTACTGAATGTTCAACCCTGAACTTCAAACACGAACAATTTACTGAGTGGAATCTTACTGCATATAAGTATGCGGTAAGATACTGCTCGGTTACTCAAATACCACATGAGCTATATTATTAAGTCATGCGGTATTTTAGTAGTGAAACATTAATTCATTAATGTTTCAACTGTCAGTGGGGTTCCCTGTTGACAACTGAATGTAAAAAGTATTTTCGGCATTGCCCAACAATTAAAATTTAAACAAAAAACAATATGGGGTCCTCCCACCCATCCATACCAAGCCTTTTGGGTCTGGTATGGACTTTGAGGGGGACCATCATGCCAATTTTTTTTTAAATGGTATGGGGGGAGGCCCCCAAAATCCACACCAGACCCTTATCCGAGCATGCAGCCTGGCAGGTCAGGAAAGGGGGGGACAAGCAAGCACCCCCCTCTTGAACCATACCAGGCCACATTCCTCAACATGGGGGGTATTTTAGGGCAGAGGGGGCTCCCCTCTCAAAGCACTTTGTTCTCATGTTGATGGGAACAAGGGCTTCTTCCCCACAATCCTGGGCTGTGGTTGTGGGGGTCTGCGGGCAAGGGGCTCATCAGAATCTGGAAGCCCCCTTTACCAAGGGGCCCCCAGATCCTGACCTCCGATGTAAATGAGTATGCGGTACATGGTACCGCTACCCATTCACAAAAAAAGTGTAGTGTAAAAAAGACAGGAGACAGTCTTTGACAAATCCTTTATTAAAAATAAAAACGAAAAAAAGTCCCCCGAAGTAGATCCAACATCAATCACGATGTCTGCCACTACCTGAAAAAAGAAAACGCTACGCTGGCTCCCGCTGTCTGACAGCTGCGCCGCGATGACGTTTTCCTGTGCTGTGATTGGCCAAAGCATTGCACTTGACCTGTTGTCAGGTTCATTTCTTTGACCAATCACAATGCACTGTCAGGGCGCAGTGCATTGTGGGGCGTGGTGGGCAAATAGCCGCCGAATGCCCATATCATTCATGTGTTCAGCAAAGACACGAATGGTCAATGTTCAAGTTGAACTTAGGTTCAGCTCGAACATTCAGCCCAACACCAGTCATAAGTGTGAATGGACCTTTTACACCTCTTCATTATAGTGTTTATCAACAGTGCTTGTGTTGTCACAATGCATCTTGCACATGTTAGTGGATAGTGGTTTATCAATTGTACCCCAACGTTCCTCTGATGCACCTGCACTACAGTGTACCACAACACATGGCAATATACTATTGTGCGCTGTAGTGCACTGCATCGTAAAACAACCTGCCTGTCCTTTTTTGTGTGTTTTGGTGCATTGGCAGCCATTCACTTGAATGGACTACCTTAAAATAATAAGCACGAATGCATGGCATAACACATGTATGTTAACACAATGCACCAGATTGAGTGAGTGTTAGTGAATCCCTAGTGTTTTCCTAGCATTAGTATATTGTCAGCAGCTGAATTGGCTAGTATGTCTGATCTTGCTTTGATCCCCTCCCAGCTCCCTCTTTAAAGAAATGCCCGTAGCGAAAGAAAGAAGAAATAGCGCAGGGCATACATGACTAGGCCCAGAGTGGGGGAAGGAAGAGCAGAAAGGGTTAAGATAGCTCCAGGAGGATTTTGTTATTGTTAGTGGGGGGTAGCTGATTGGTAGAGGTTGGTGTAGGTGGGGTTTTGCTGCACCTTAGGATGGGAGGTTCTGTGAGGGGGAGTCAGTTAGCTGGACGGCAAGAGTGTGAGCTTCCCTCCCGCCCTCCCTGTTTGGGTGAGTTTTTTGGGTCCCTCCAGGTAGAGGGGGGGATTATGTTGGTTCATGGGCGGTTGTTGGTCTTTGGAGGCGGTTCTTATTTGGAAGGTAAACAACAATGGTGTGGGACCCATCCGTGGTATGGGATGCCCGGGGACATTCCCAGTTAACCAAGGTTTAACTGGAAGGTGGTGGTGCTGCACTGCGGACGGTATGGTTGTCTCTGAGCTGGTTGGTTGCGGCTGGAGGCCTAGTGTATATGGTTGTCCGCAGGTGCATTTCGGATCGTTTTGGGGTGCCTTCGAAGACCAACAACAATTCTGTGGGTTTCTGTTATAAGGAATGGTTGGTGGCGGTTGTTGGTCTTTGGAGGCGGTTCTTATTTGGAAGGTAAACAACAATGGTGTGGGACCCATCCGTGGTATGGGATGCCCGGGGACATTCCCAGTTAACCAAGGTTTAACTGGAAGGTGGTGGTGCTGCACTGCGGACGGTATGGTCGTCTCTGAGCTGGTTGGTTGCGGCTGGAGGCCTAGTGTATATGGTTGTCCGCAGGTGCATTTCGGATCGTTTTGGGGTGCCTTCGAAGACCAACAACAATTCTGTGGGTTTCTGTTATAAGGAATGGTTGGTGGCGGTTGTTGGTCTTTGGAGGCGGTTCTTATTTGGAAGGTAAACAACAATGGTGTGGGACCCATCCGTGGTATGGGATGCCCGGGGACATTCCCAGTTAACCAAGGTTTAACTGGAAGGTGGTGGTGCTGCACTGCGGACGGTATGGTTGTCTCCGAGCTGGTTGGTTGCGGCTGGAGGCCTAGTGTATATGGTTGTCCGCAGGTGCATTTCGGATCGTTTTGGGGTGCCTTCGAAGACCAACAACAATTATGTGGGTTTCTGTTATAAGGAATGGTTGGTGTATTGTAACTTGAGTTGTTAATAAAAGGCCATGTTGGCCATTTACTCCAAAAATTGGTGTTATGTCTTTTGTTAGTATAATTGGTTAAGGGGAAGGGGGTTGGTGCGGAACGGTAATGGTGGTAATGGGGAAGTGGACGAGCCTATCTCTGGTGCAATAGTCAAGCTGAACACAAGCAAAAAAATGTGTTGGGATACAGCAACAGTTAAATAATATGCTGCTCCTTACTATACAAATCCTCTCTTCAATGATGCCTGATATACACAGAGCGGTGTTCTTCTGGCACTGTGAAAAAGAGCTGTAACTGTGATAGTGAAGGGATCCCACATTTCACTCTCCCTTTCCTCTCCCCCTGTCCATTCACAAAACTCCTTATATAATTTTCACAGAATGTAAGGTGTTCTCAGAATGGACAAGAGGATATCTTGTAGATTTTCCATACCCCTCATAGCAATAAACAGTCCTAGAACCTCTATTTATGCATCTATCCATCTTTCTATATATTACTATAGATGCAGATGGATAAAGGAAGACTGTCAAATGACAAATACAAAGCAGTCATTCTTAAACTCCTAACATACAAGTTGCAAGACCTTAACTAGTTTCAGTAGTTTCTAAATCACAGACCCAGAATTAGCATACAGTCAGTGGACTTGATTTTCATTTTTGTTCCACATAAGTGACTGAAAAATAATTGAAGCCATTGGGTCTGCATCACATTCCAGCAGCTTGCATTTCCAGAGAGAGACGTCAGAAATGTTAGCCTACATATTACTTTTATGACAGGTTTCCTTTAAATAGAAAAAGTCTCACCCCCGAGTCTTATGCCAACCACCTTATTCAGAAGCTGTATTAGTAAAAGCAGCTTTACTGTTTACTTCCCAAATGCTTTTATAATGCACAGTGTGTGGGTAGTGTGGAGAATATGTTCTGATACTGGATGCCACTTACCTCTCTGCATTCTTATTGCCCTGTAGAAAACTTTTGGCTAGTAGTATTGGCACTGGCTTTTGGAGAAATGTAATTATGGAGTCCCCCAGTGTTGTTGCTGTGGGCATTCAAGAAAATCCTCCCACCCCTTCCTCCCTTATTCCCCCACCCCCCACATGTATTAGGATGGCGTCACTCCCCATTTTGTGCGTATATGCACATGCATTACATTGTTTTGTAATGACACATTGAAATATTTATTTATTATTATATTTCTTTATAATATTATATATAGTAGTTATACAGTATCAATCAGATCTTTATTAATAATAATAATAATAATATAGCAAGCGTATACTTTCTGTTTTGCTATTCATCACCAATAGCATTAATAATCTATCAATTTTAATTGCATTATTTATTTATTTATAATATATTAATTAGCTCTTGCTGTTAATCTTATTGCCATGTTTGTACATCTGTTGTGATTTTGAATAATAATTTATTAAACTTATGATACTTTCTGTTTTTGGTATTCATCACCAACAGCATTGTTCTGATATGGAATATCCATTTTTAATTGTATTATTTATTTATTTGTAATTTAACCACTTCCCGCCCACCATATAGTAATATGACGGGCGCAAGGTGGTTCTCTCGTTCTGGGAGGACGTCATGTGACGTCCTCCCATTCTCACTGCTCATGTGCGGCTCAGGGAGCGCGCGGTGATCGGCAGTGTGCTGTGTCCCTCGGACACAGCGGATCACCGATCACGGAAAGAGCCAAAGATGTCGGCTTGGTCATGTGATCAGCTGTGTCCAATCACAGCTGATCACATGTAAACAGGAAAATGCCGATTATCGGCATTTCTCTCCTCTCGAGTTGTCACGCTGACAGAGGAGAGGAGAGCTGGTAATCGGCATTCCGCGGAGGGGACATGTACACTGATCATCAGGGCACTGATGATCAGTGTGCCCTGATGATCAGTGTAGCCCCAGCAGTGCCACCTGTCAGTGTCTCAGTGTCGTGTGTCAGTGCTCATCAGTGCCTCGTGCCAGTGCCCATCAGTGCCACATCAATACCACATAGTGCCTGCCAGTGCACATCAATGCCACATATCAGTGCCCATCTGAGCTGCCTTTCAGTGCCACCTATCAGTGCCAGTCAGGCCACCTATCAGTGGCAGTCAGTGCCGCCTATCAGTGCCAGTCAGTGCCGCCTAACAGTGCCAGTCAATGCCACTTATCAGTGCCATTCAGTGCCGCCTAACCGTGCTAGCCAGTGCCGCCTAACAGTGCCAGTCAGTGCAGCCTATCAGTGCCATGTATCAGTGCCATGTATCAGTGCTGCCTTTCAGTGATGCCTGTCAATGCCCATCAGTGCCACCTACCAGTGCCTACTCATTAGTGCCCATAAGTGCCACCTATCAGTGTCCATCACTGCAGCCTCATTAGCGCACATCAGTGAAGGAGAAAAATCACTTATTTACAAAATTTTATAACAAAAACTAAGAAAAAACTTTTTTTTTCAAACTTTTCAGTGGTTTTTGGTTTGTTTAAGAAAAAATAAACTGCGCAATTGTCACTCAAATTTCGACAGCGCTGAAAGCTGGAAATTGGCCTGGGCAGGAAGGGGGTATAAGTGCCCTGTTGGCTAGTGGTTAATAAGTAGCTCTTGTTGTTAATTTTATTGCCAAGTTTGTACATCTGTTGCGTTACTGCCCATATAATATTCCTTTGATGTTTATCTGGTGGATTAGATTCAATTTTCTTCTTCCCCTCTTATAGCACATTTGTGTCTCCCATAGATGCTGCAATATCGGTCCAGTTCCCATGCCATCTTGCTGTCAGTGGTGCTTTAAACTCTCACGGCCCACTTCCACTTGCTTGGTCTTTGCTGACAGGGATGAAAGCTTTAAAAACTCTTTTTGTTTCCCTTGGGCTGGTCAGCTTAAAAAAGGTGATGGGGTCTCTGAAATGTGCTGCAGTCTGCCCATTCTGTCTGTCATGGTCTCCTGTCAGAGGCACAAGTGGGGGCAAGGACACTGATGGCCTTTCCTCTCTCAGCAGGTCCCTGCCTGTGCCCTGCAGCTATCATCGGCCCATCCAGCTGAGAGCTGTTTCTATACATCCACACTGACCATAGGAGCAGTATTGGATTCCTAGATATAAGTGAGCTTATACTAATCTGTTGCTTTGCTTTGTTCCTTTGCATGTTCATGAGGGATTGTCCCAGATCCATTGGCAAGGAGCTGCTGGAGAGTGTGTGCTACTATCATCAACTACTTCAGCTGTTCACTTATCTTTTGCTGTGAACTTTATGGACTACCCGCTTTCCACTGTGGTTTTGAGTGCTGACTGTGCTTGTATTTAATAAAGGTTGATATTGTTATTGTAGGTATTGAGGAACCCCTACTAAAACTAATACATTGGTAGTAGATAGGAAAATACCTCTTACATTGGGGGCTAGTTGCAGGAAAGCTCTCTTACACTAATAGTCAGATTGCCCCCTACAGAGAACTCAACAGATATAATCAGAGTCATATTGCTGGCTCTGCAAAGTAGTAGGCACTGAAACTATGCAGACACCATCAAATTGAAGATCAATTAGCCACAGCTCAACCTTTAGCAACAATGGGAGAAATGCCGGAGCTCCACAGGATCCTGGTGGAGGATGACTGTTCTAATGTCTTTTTTATCTGAGTCTGCAGTTTAGGAGTACAAATTATAATCAAACAATTGTTGGACCTGTTCAAATCAATCCCATTCATAGTGACTATGTCCACATAAATGTACACATAACATTGCTTTCCATGGCCTGAGTCTTGCTAACTCTTAGGGTCCCACCGGGTCCAGATGCTCCTCAGTCAGCCTCACGGACTATAACACAGTGATTTACTTACTGATGTCCCCAACCTTAGAAGGAACTGAGAGGCATAGTTTGAGGAAGGGATGCAGAATAGCATCATTTTCTGCATTGCAAGCTGATGGGATTGAGACAGGGCAGTGATTAGCAGCTGTGAAGCAGGAACTGTTACTGCTAGCAAACATCTATATGGCATGATATTGCTTCAAGCCTTAAAAAGTGGTTTCCAGCACATGATTGGTACTGCAGGGGTTGGGGGGAGTGATGTCAAGTGCTGATCCTCCACATTGCACATTGTACAAAACATTAATGAAAGCCATCTGAAAAAAAACCCCTGTGTTAAAGTAAAAAGTCCAAGAGGAAAAACCTAGGACAGTTGTACTTATTAGGAACAGTGCTGTCAAATTAGGTAATACAAAACAGTCCTGGGGGGTGTGTAGTAATTGAAAAGTGTGCTCCAGTAGTATCAGTTTCAGTATGCTGAAATACACAATGTTGTGTCCCCATTAGAGGGATTCACTCTCTTGATTTGTCCTGTGACCACCGTCAGTGGGACAAAATGTGTCTCCAGCATGCAGACAGAAAAAAAGCCTAATGGGTATCAACCTTTACCAACTCTAAATCTAAAATGAAAACATAAAGTTTGTGGCTGTAGATACAGTACTTGTACTAAGAAAATTAGAGAGGCCCTCATTATGAAAATGTTAGTTCTGTCCATCATGCTGACCCAATGGCTTTAGTACTTCTGGATCATTGATCAAGAACAAATGTGCACATCAGTATTTCTAAAGTCGTTCTGACTTAAAGGGTAGGTTCACTTTTTGTAGCATGTTACAACCATATATAGGGTGTAACATGTTACTGTGCTCCAGTCCCCGCACCCCCCTGATCCCCTGCTGTGACAGTTGGTGGGGGATCCTCTCCCTACACCTGCTGGCACAGTTTGTAAAACATCATAGCTGTGGGGGGCTCTGCCCACACACAGTCATGTCATTCATTCACACAGATCTGTGAATGAATGAACTACAAGTGCCATCTACCACTGTGGCCGATGACTTGTAGTTCTCAATGAACTGTGAGGGCACTGGTGAGTGCTCTGGTGGTCTATTGATTCTTCCTGCAATTCAGTAACCATCTGCTCATATGGGAGAGGTTTGGGCAGACAGAATACTGATAGCCTGCAGAAGCCTGACATTGCACACTCGATCCAATGATTGCAGGTGCAAAGCCTTACAGGCTGCAGTGTAAAAAAAAATAAATGTACATTTTTTTTTACCTGCAAAATTATGTGCACTTATTTATTTATGTATTTATTTATACAAAAGGTGAACTTATCCTTTAACATGCTACATGCTTGTTTGAGTTTAGGGATTTAAAGAGTATTGAAGCCAGGGAAAGACAGAGAACTATCATCTTAGAATAAGGTCAGCAATGGCAGTCTCCATATCTATCAGCATAGGTTTCCTTTAAAAGCACAGTTTCTACAGTGAAAAGGGTGACAAGATCAAGGGGGTCATTGATGTACATCAAATTTAGATCTTGAAATATCATTCAAAATCTACATTTAAAAATAAACTGAAGGTAAAATTCACCATAATAGCAAATGCACTCTGGAAACTAGCATGCAAATCTTGATAAAATGTCCCCGCAGTGAAATAATAGCATTTATATGTTTTACTCTTCCAGGAGTGCTCTCTTATTTTTGACCACTAGATGGTGCTCTATCACTTGCGAAATGCAGAACCTGGAAGCACTGACAATATAGACTTTATAGAAGACATTTTCATACTCTTCTGTGTTCACTTTAAATTCTTATCATTTTCAGGATGGTTTCATATACCCAGAGATTTCCTGTCAACCTGACTTGTTACATAAAGTGACCACAGGTTGGAATGACTCCTTTGGTAAATGAGCCCTCTGTGTTTATTTAACCCTTAAATGACCAGGGATACTGTATGTCCTACCTTCGTGACCACTGGAATTGCTGCAGCTTGGCTGTGTGAAGATGCAATCAATAATACCTTGGGCAGCACAGTGGTTTAGTGGCTAGCACTTCTACCTGGGAGTGCTGGGGTTGTTTGGTTAAAATCCTAAAGCATGACATTATCTGCATGGAGTTTGCATGTTCTCCTTTTGCTTGCATCTGTGTCCTCCGGGTAATCCAGTTTCCTCCCACACTCCAAAGGCTTGATCGTAGGTTAATTGGTTCTTGTCTAAATTGGCCATAGTATGAGTATTTATGAATGTGAGTTAGGGACCTTATACTATAAGCTCCTTGAAGGCAGGGACTGATGTGAATGTAAAATATTTAAATGCATAAGTTGTCAGTGCTATATAAATGACTATAACTTTAACCTTTTCTTATTGTCTTACGGAAAAAAAAAACAACACTGACAGATAAGCTATAAGTTTTCCTAATAAAAGTTGTCAGCCTTCATACTCTTTTAACCATATACAACTTTACACATTTTCTGCACTTTCATTTTCTAGGATGCCAAACGTATATTTATTCACATTTTGGATGTATTACTTAAAATACACATGCTTATATACATTTCCAGAGTACATGATTATTATTCAATGAGCAGAACTAAGAATATCATTAGGCATAGCCTGGGCCTATGGGAGAAACAACCAAAGAGGCTCCTGCTCCTTGTATAGTTAATGGGCCCCTTCTAGCTACCCCCCCCCCCCCAAATAATGACTTATCTCATATAATTGTAATAAAGTTTTGGGTCAGTTTAGTGCCAGTTAAATAGGGATGCTTTAAAAACCTTTACGGGTTACCAGTTTAGAGTTACACAGGAGGTCTGGTCCTAGAATGATTGCTATCACTTTGATATTCCTGACAATACCTGATAAGCCTTTTGCGATTACTGTTTACCTATGCGTGCGGGACCTTTGTGCGCTTTTGCATTTGTATGTGAGTATGGGGGGACAGGGGTGCTTTAAAAATGTATTTATTTATTATTTACATTGCACCTTTATTTATTTTATGGATCAGCATGATAGCTTGTGATGACATGGGTTGTGACAGGTCCTCTTTATGAAGAGATCTGAGGACTTTTCCTCTGGCCTCCAAAACATGATCAAACCAAGGCTGGTTTGTTCAGTTGGTAACGGCTTGTTTACATGAGACTGAAACCAGAAGCAATTAATGGCTTCAGATTTCTGAAGTCACACAGTGGGAGGAACAATATCAGTCCTAGGAAGCAGATGCTGCTGGTCCCATCCTTATTGGGCTCCCCGAATGGACAGGAGCGCCTGGCAAAGGTGGCAGCGGGAGGGGTTGGAATCCCATTCCACTGCTTGTAAAAGTGATCCAGTGGCTGTGTAGTCACTCAGATCACTTTTTAC